GCAGCAACGCGCGGTCAACGTCGTCTGCGTTCGCCGTGAGCCGTTGCATTCAAATTCACCTTCATCAGCTAGAAGAGAGTGATCGCGATCACTCGTGACTTCGATTCATGCGCGCGTGACCCCGTCGCACACGTCATCGCAGGTCTCATATGCGCTCCGAAAACTCAAGATCACGTCGAGTTCACAGCGCCTCCATCGATGCCATACATGAGCGCGGTTTGCATGACTGCATGGATGCTTGACACGCAACGTCGACCGACATGTCTCTCGGCTTCGGGCTCAGCGTAGCTAACCACGAATGGCATGCTCGACGGTAGCCTGCTATCTCAATGACGACAGCTTCCCCCTGATCGTATCAGAATCAAAGATTGAATGCGATGCCTGTGCGGCATCGCAATCTGAAGCTTGATGATCTCAAGCGCAGTTGCAAATCCTTTGTCCGCTGCGCAGCATTTCTCGGCCGGTAAGAGGCAAGCGTTGTAGCGCGCAGCGCAGCTATATTTATAGCCGCAATCACGCATTTGAACAACTACGCCCAGGCTGGTCGACAAAGACGTTCCTTGTTCACCTCTCGCAGTCTTCGACGCTCTCCTTGAGGTAGCACGATAGTCACCATTCGTTGATTCGCTCACATACTCGCGCGAAGAGGCATCCCTCCTCAGCCTGTGGTGGTGGTGCGCACAAGCCAAGCTTTGCTACCTCTTCTTCGAGCTATCGTCTACTGCAAGCGAATACACGATGTTCCATTCGGCTGCGGAGCATCGCACATCCGTCAGAAGTCGCCCCTAGCCAGCTCAGAGATGGCAGACTCGAGCGACGCCAAGGCACGATCTTCTCCTGTCAGCGCAGAAGCGACTCTCACATTATCAGCTGAAAGTCTGAGATGGCACGTCTTGGGTGTATTCGCTGCGGCTGCAGCCCTTCTGTCGCCTTGGGTGGGTCCAGTCTCGCCGCCAACGTGGGTCTGCACCATCTTGGCCATCTTCTTCACCCTATTCGCTTTGACAGCCATCCCAGCATTGGTCATGGTCCTTGCTTACCTGGCAGACCAACGCCAACTTCTCCGCACTCGTGATGAGCCTCGCCTCGACGGGTCATCTCGACCACAGCTTTCGTTCACCCAACCCACCGCATGGGCTAAGCTTCGTCGGGATATCAACAGACCTCAACCTCCCACATCATCTTTATGGCCAGCGAGCAAGCCTCTGAGCGATGTCACGGATACCATTATCAAGTGGATCATCCGCGACTTCGTCTCTCCGTGGCATACGCCTCTTACAGCGCGTAGTGGTTCGGGCGATGAAGCGACGTCCAACAATTTCCCGCGTGCTTTGGACCACGCTCTGCGGCATGCCCTGCGCACGCTGGGCGAAAGTGGATCTCGGCTCGACCTGTCAACCCTCGTTGTCCGCGGAGTCTTGCCGAAAGTGACAAATCACATCAGTGTGCACCGCAGAGCTGTGCTCCGACTCCATGGACCCCCTCTGGCAGGTGCAGGGGACCTGAACCAGCTTTCGGGAGACTCAACTACGGATATCTTCCTTGCAAAGGCGTACGAGGCCTGCGGAGGCTCGCTGCATGCTGCTGTCGCATCAACCTCGACGCTAGACACTCGGCACACCGAACAAGCTCATTTGCGCTCCAGCGCCGAACGTATCCTGGCCGTGCTGTTGCCTGAGGAAGAGCTTCGCAGCCCAGCTGTGCGCGTCGTCGCACGGGAACTTCTCGCCTGCACTGTCCTCACGCCGCTGGTCGACTCTTTGTCGGACCCGGACACCATCAACTCGATGCTCGAGCATCAGGCCTCTGTCGCACTGCAAGAGCAGAAGCTGATCACCCAGCTCCGTGAGACGTTGGATAGAGAGCAAAAGCGCTCGCGCACCAGTGACTGCAAGGACCCGTATCTCTCGTCTTACAAGGACGTCGCTTTTAGTGACCGGACCAAGCGCGGCCAGTCGTTAGGAATACCCTCCCCTCTCGCCATTCGTAGCATGGATGAGGCACAAGCTCGTCGGCTCAAGACCGCTCTCGTGCGCGAAGCTAACAAGATGCAGAGTGACACCGGCGGGAGCGGCTTGCAAACAGACTCGACACGGCAGTACAAGCGTATGAAAGAGGGCATCGTGGCTGTCGATGCTCGGCTTGCCCAGCTCGATCATGTCAAGTCTGAGGCTGTTGCCAAAGCCTTGCCAGCGGACGACGTGCCAAAGCACACGGAACTCGACACCACTTTCGACCCGGCTCCAGTCACTCTGCAGACCGTTCTCAAAAACTCGCTCGCTTTGTCTCATTTCCTAGAGTGGATGGAACGTCGAGGCGCAGGTCAGCTCGTGCAATGCTGGATGTCGATGTCCGTCTTTCGACAGCCGCTCGAGGAGGTCGATAGCGATGCCGAAGAGCAAAATCCCGCGCGCCATTTGGCTCGATCCCAGAACGCATCGCGAGATGCTCTCGACGTTCTCCTCGCGGACCTGCGACCGTTCGTAGACCACTACTTCCCAGGACTCACCTGCATCAATATCCGAGACAAAGAAGCGGTTATCAGGGCTACGCAAGAGTCGTCTAAGCCTGACGCTGTCATGACGCACACAGACTTGAAAGCGGCACGGAGGAGCGTCCTTAAGGCTCTCCATCAGATAGAGATGGAGCTCCTTGACGAATACTGGCCAAGCTTTGTTCGAAGCCGCGCTTTCGCACGAGCTAGACGAGAGCTTGCACGCGATTCCGGCTCGGACGCACGGCAGCTGCATACTTCTCAAGCCATCACGTCCGCTGATCGTTCGCGACGAAGCATCGACGACGAAACAGTGGAACAAGGAATGGATCGAAGCATGCATTCTGCAGACCTCTTTGGGCACGAGCCAATCTACCGAACGCGGTCCCCTTCGCCTGCGCTTTCAACACAAGCCGGAACTGAGCCTCTTCCAGGAACTCGCGCCATCTCGAAGGTCGCCAGGAAAGGCAGCCGTGCAACACACAATCTCGACCTTTTGATTGGCGGTGCTGGTACTGTTCGCAGCCCGAGCGAAAGGCCTCCGCTTTTCCGCGAGAATTTGTTTGAGGATGGAGAGGCTGATGATAGTGCAGATCAGGATGATACCGAAGAAGCGCCACTCACCCTTCGAGCAGACCGGATGGACGCTTTGGCCGATGCCCTTGCTAACCTCATCGCCGATGATGGTGCGATCGCTACAACGGGTGAACGGGTGCTGTCGCACCCGACTGGCACGCATGCAAGTAACGTGAATAGCTCAAGCTGCTCTTCATGGGCGGCGCGTCCCTCTTACAGAACCGGTACAAGGGGATCAGCAACAGCAAAGCAAGACTTGCGCCCTGCATTCAAAAGATCGTCGAGTGGACCTAATTCGGATGGGCCTCGCTCTAGCCAACGTGACAGAGTCTTTGGTGACGACGACAATCTAGAGAAGAGCGGGAGCTCTCGTGTCTCAGAAGAAGGCGATGCAGTGCCGCTTGGCGAATGCAGTGCAGCTGCTTCATCCTCTACTGCCAGCCATTCTGCGGGGGCGGTGCCGATCGCGGAGTCAGAGCTCGCTTTCGACTTTGTACGTGAGCGTACCAGACTCTGCGCGGATGAGGAGCGCGTACGGCGCCAGCATGAGCTGCTGTCGGCCCTCATTCGCAAAGCAGAACTTACCGGCGCTGGTGTCAAGGAGCTGCGGTTGTTGACACAGAGCCAGAAAGCAGCGGCTCGTGATCTTAGCCAGCTTTCACTAGCCCACGCTGAGCTGCAGGAGCGCAAGGCACGTTCGAGCCTTGTGATGGGACTGGTTGAGGTCTCGATACCGTTTGAAAGCATCATGGCTGCAGAAGTAGGCGCAAAAGATTTTGCAGTGTATCACATTCAGGTCGATAAATTCTCTGCGAGGACACGAGTGACAGGACAAGACGCACAGGAAAACTCACAAGAGTCACGCGCTGTCGAGAGCGGCTGGGTTGTTGCGCGCCGCTACAGCGAGTTTGCAGCCTTGAATGACCACCTCTCCAAGCGCTTCTCTGAAGTACATCGCGCGAAAGGCCTGTTTCCCAGCAAGCGAATCGTGGTCTTCTCACCAACGCCTCTAGTCGAGGGGCGTCGGCAATCGCTAGAGAATTGGCTCAGGGTGAGTCTGTCTTCGTCGTCGGTGACCTCGCGATGCTCATTCGTCATGTTTCTCCATTTTCTCAGGCCCTGCTCCTCATACCCACTATCTGCACAAGCCCAGAGCTCGAAGCATTTCTAAATCCAGCGCAGATGCACGTCCTCCAGACGACGCTTGAAGCCGCCGTCAAAAGCTCGGGCATGGATACAGCACCAACGCTCAGCGACAGGAGCATTGCATCGCCGATTGATGCCGCCTTTGAGATGGTTGTCAGCCTCACTGACTCTTTGGGCATCCCTTTGCCGGCCATCGTGAGCAGTCGCCAATCTCTGACAGCCGGTCTTGTCGGCCGCGCTACGGGTTCGACAGCTGTGCCTGAGTCGCCGCTGCAGGCAGAGTCACAAGGCAAGATGACATTGACGCCTTTTACAGAGCCCATATGTGCGCTGCTGTTTGAGGTGTTCCAGCTCAGCGAAAAAGACCAGTGGTTCAGACGACAATCGCTTGTGATCGTGCTACAGCAAGCCCTGGGTGGCACCATCGAGCGGTCAGTCTGCGTTGTGCTTTGACCAACGCGGGAAGTTGAATCTGAAAGCTCCTTCTCCCGACTCAATACCACAGCAAAATTCGCGAAGCCTTTTCGAGCGGAACCTCTTCTTTGGCAATGACGCGCCACTTGACGAAAGTGCGCGACAGTATATGGCCGAATGGAACCTTGAAGAAGTCCGCGCCACCTCGAAGTCAAGCTGAGAAAGATTCGCTGAAAATCAATTCGCTTCGAAAGTGCTACGCATTGCTACCGGACATAGCCGCGAGCTTCATGGGCAAAGAGAACGCGCGAAAGGGGGCGCGTGATGTGCACTCTGTCTTGCAGAGCAAGCGCTTGAACAAGTCTCTGATATACTCTGTGCTCGATCTCTTGCTCGACGAGTTTGTGGAGAAGTCGAGGCAAACGCCCGTATAGGGGCGCACCATTGCAATGCCCCTTGCAATTCATCTTCACCAGTCAAAGCTATCACGAATGCCTGGAGTGTTGACACCATGATGGACGCTGTGGACAATGTATAGTATTGCAACTCACACTACAGCTTGCCCAGCCGCGTGGCCCCATCCAACCTGATGAATGAACCGTTCTTGACGAGCAATCGAGGTAGCAGGGCAAGGTCGCGCAGGATCTTAGCTTGACATGATTCCAGCGTGTATGCTACCACCTCTCCACTGCGCACTCACCAACATGGAGTTTTCAATGCACGCGATGACGGCGTGCGCAAACTCTTCGGGATGTCCAAAGCGAAGCGGGAACTCTGCATTGCGCAGGATCGCATCTTTCGCCCTTTGTGGCAGACGTTCCATCATTGGCGTAGAGAAGAGCGCCGGCGCAAGGGCCTGCGCAAAGGATATTTAAAGAGGGCAATGGCAGATACATCAGCAACTTGGTGCTGATGATGCCAACAAGCCTGCCACTGCTTGGGATACACGCACCATCACCCGAATGCCGTACCATGCCAAATCTCTGCAGGGGGGAAAGAGGGCAAGTAGGCCCGATGATGAGCATTCTCCGCGCTCATCGCGCCTATCCATCGCCGAGCGCAAATCTCTCACCTAGCCATGGGCATGCTCATACCGACCACGCCACCTTTGCTAGCGGAGTAAGATACCTGACCCGTCTGGCCTTCGAAAGCAGCCGCACTAGCAGTATTGATGATCACGCCCCTATCCTGCGTCTCGTTGTTTGGCTTTCGAAGAGGTTTGGGCAAATCTCGAACGATGCGGGCTGCGGTCAGACGAGAAACGTTAAAGGTGCCCACCAGGTTGATATCGACGACTTTTTTGAACGTGTCCAGATTCTACAGCAAGTTTGGAGGGATGTGCGCAAATTCAAAAGGATGAATGAGCTGCGCGCCTCGAGTTGGGTTGCATTGCAAAACATCGTGACTTACAAACGGCTCGCCTTCCGCATCGATGATCTGACGAAAGCGCAGGACAGCAAAGCAGATCTCTCAGCTCCCACAACTATGTGCGGCCACATCGCCTTCTCGCCGCTCTGCCCCCCCC